CCATTCGCATCTCTCTGTCCAATCAAAAGAGTCGTGCCGTGATTGTGCACTTGATGCATATATACATACTGGAATTGCAATGCTGGGTAGAGCACTCATAGATTTTGCACAAAATGGCTTGCAAGTTGTTCTTCTTTTTAGCTCTTCTTGTTTGTGGGGGAGTTGTGATAGTGAATGGGGCTGAGTGTTTTGAAAATCCCAATCCAGGCTATTCTGTCCAGCAATATCAACAAGCTGCTCAAAGGATTTGCAATGGCGGGTTCTCTGATTTCAGCCTTGACTTGGGGCAATTGCCTCATAGCCAGTTCCGGATGGTGATCCAGGCACATTGGGACGGCAACAGCAGGCAACATTGCTGGGTAGATTCCAAACATTTCCCCTCAAATTCTGATTTTTAAAAATTTCAGTATGCCTTCAACAATATCATTAGCCAATGTGTCCAGGGCGCTGGGATTGGGTTTGAACGGTGGGCGCTGGGATTGGGTTTTCAACGGTCAACTTGAACACTACCATCTTCAGGCTTTTTAAGCATTTCTTGCAGGATTGTTCAAGCTGCCAGTAAAACATTTCAAAGGCGCCAGGATTGGATCTTCGATTTCAAGCATTTTTAAGCATTTTCTTGCTTGATTGTTCAAGCTCAATAAGCATACCAAAACTTATAATGATAAGCTGCTTGGTTTTAGCAGGAACCATTTCATCTAGCGCTACTCTTGAGCCTGAGCAACCAGGTGTTTATCTTCGTTTCCCGTTCTGCTCCAAACACGAACAGCTCGCCCTTCTCAGCTGCAGTGATCTCCAGCCATCTTGTGCACGTCCGCGGGGGCCAGCTCTCCCGAATCGTCCTGGAAGCACTTCTGCTGGAACTGGACCGCCAAAGTTACCTCCTGGACACTGCCCTGTTCTCTATCCAAGAACTCGCTCAGCTTGTCCACAGGTAGAACGTCTATAGCTCGACCTTGCTGCTTTCTTCTTGACGTAAACCCGTCAACCTCGAGTCTCCCTGCTTCATGGCTGGACAACTCGATCTAGGAGTGGAAGTTTTCATGGACTCCGTGAAAGTCTGTCCAGTGCCCAGAAATTGCTCTCATACCTGGGATGCTTTCTTCTCTCAAAACTGCCGCTCCAAAAATCACATTTTTCTGCAAAGAACTGATAAAGAATTCACTTAGTCCATTCAAAAACACCAAGCATACCGATAAGAACTTGACATTTCAGAGGCATTTTATACGAAATGTGTTTCACTTCCTTCAAACACACACGCATGGAAGCAAATTAAAATGACATCGCTAGACACAGGCAAGAGATTAAACAGCTTACCTGGATAGCTCTCTGAATCATCTCAACAAAATACGGGAAGTTCACGCGGCACGAGTAAAAATATGTTGCTATACATCCGCCGTATAAAAACTTTATATGTATCGTCCAAGTTGCTTGGTTGCTTGCTGTGTGTTTGTGTGTTGTATGTGTGTAGTAGCTGTGTGTATTGTGTATGTTTCAATGTATCCTTGATACATCTCGATTCCTGTTGTCAGAAGAATCACAAAGTAGTCAGAAACTTCACAAGATTTTACCGGAAGTTACAAACCTTTCAGACTCGCAATCGCTTCCACCGGTCTCTATGCCTCACATCGAATCTGTAACCTGTGGCTCCTTTCCCCATACCCTGCCAAGCAGGCTTGTGCATTCAGCATCTGCCTTCCTCGATTGATCAAGTCATCTCCAGCAGACCGACCACTTTGGAAGGCCTCACTCTTTCAATGGATTCCTCACCATGCCTTACCCATTCTGAGAGCCTCCAGGGCTTTTGCCATTTCCACTTGAAGTGGAAAGACCACCGCTGCTGATGACTTTGCTTCCATTTCCAAAGTTTTCCAGTTTGAAAACCTGGCTGCTTTGTCATTAGTCCAGGCTCGAGGGAGGCCAACTGCAAGTCAACCCAATCTATGATTTAGTACGTGGTTCTTCTCATAACTGAAGACTATCGTGTTTACCTTTGAAATCATCAGACATTAAACAAGATAAACTTCTGTAGCATACCCGTTTTGCCCATTGTATGAACGATCATACATTTCCTCCGCCTTTAGCTTTGACAGTTCATTAGCAAGAGCAGTGCGCCTACGAAAGTAAGAACTTTGAGAACACACGTTGGAAGCAATAAAAGCCTCGACTTACGCTTCACTCTGCTTGTCATAAGCTACACGAACTTCGTGAACATGAAGGGCCACTTCGATCTCACGATCAACCCAACTGTGTAAGACTTTATCATCCGCCTGTAAATCGAGAGTTTTAAAAGCCGAAAGGAGAGAAGCACAACTATGACCTGAAAAGCGTGTCCATTGTCTGTTAAAGTCCCTGTCCAATGCCTCGAGTTAGAGTAACAGAAAACAACAGTCTTGCCACGAACCTGCCTCCCGTCCAGACAACTTGCGAGACTCCAAAACCTCCTTCAGGCGCCGTGTAGCAATTGCAGCTTCCTCCGTCTTCCTTTGAAGAACCTGAAACAACAGTGTTCACGAAGAACTTATGAACTACCAAAAGAAACCATTTTTTGATGCTGATGCAGTGCCCGCAATTTGTGCATTTCGTATTCATTTCTTCGTCCTTCTTTCCGTAACTGTAGCAAGAGGCTGTTTACAAGACAATTACAAATTAAATAGATGTTACCTGCAACAGTTCTTTCTCACGAGCAGCCTTCCACAACCGGAACTGCTCAGATTCCTGCTTAATTTTTTGTTGCAATTGCACCTTCACACCACGATAACAGACGAATAAAAGAGTAAAAGAAGAATCAGTAAAGTCCAGCAGAGCACACCTTTTGTTGTTTGATTCGATGGATTTCGTCATGCAAACGTCTCGCAGCCTCGTCACTGCGCTGTTTTTGTTTTAGCAACTGCAACTGATTATCTTGCTTCTTTTTCAAATCAGTTATCTGATAAAACGTAACACATAAGCAAATATTTTATTTCTAAGTGGGAAAATCTACTTGCCTGATATTTGAGTTCTTTAAGCTTTTGAATGTATGAATCTTGCATTTTGTGTGTTTGCTCATCAGAGGCAGTAGCAAGATTTTCTAGCTCGGCAAGTAAAACATCTCTCTCCCTCTACAGTTTCGAGTAAGTAAAAATTGACTCTAGCAAGCCCAACGACATGATCCCCCACAACACATCTGGTTAAACAAGTTTATCACTATTAAATCATTATCAAGCTAAGTAAAGTTCTAATAGTCTACAAAGTATCTAAGCAATCATTAGTCACAAAGCAAACAATAACCACTCTTTAATTCACCTTCATAAAATCCAAACACTAAATTTATATTATTAATTTATATATTTTTCCAATAGAAAGGTAGGTACAACATATAGAAACATGGAGAAGTATGGATAAATTGACTACTTAAATTCAAGACTCAATTACAAAGACCATGATATTTATATTCATTATTAAGATCAAATATGAAATCTAAACACTAATAAGAAAAATGATATGAAAAATCAACCTCTAAATAAAATTCCTTATCACTTGATGTCTTGTAATATATATATATATATGTATGTATGTATATATGGTTGTCTGGCCTGTGCCACTGCCTCCTACAATTGGAGAGTCGTTCTCTTTTGGAATATCAAATTCATATATATATATACACACACACACACACACACACACACACACACACACACACATATATATATATATATATACACACATAAATAAATAAATAAATAAATATATATATATATATATATATATATACACATAAATATAGTTATAAACCTTATAAATTAAAATGTTTTAATTTAATGACTATAAAGCCAAATCTAGAAAATATCTTTGAAAACACTTTCTAAATACCTTTACTATATCAATTCAAATTTATAACATAACATATTTATCAAAGTATTCAAAAAAATTAATAATGTGTTATTTTATATTATTTATTTTATTCAATCTAACATTCAAAATAACCATTTACATTTTTAAGAATTGAATTTAAATAAATTCTAGATGTAGTTGGAAGACCACTAAAAGTACTACATACTGCTGATAATTCTACCCAACCATCATATGATATTGCTAAAATTGCTCTATGACATGATAATTGAAAATCACAACCATAACCCATAGTCCCATTAGTATTTGTAATACAATAATTAAGAATAATGGCTGATATTAGAGTTTTATGAGGTTTACAAACAGCTTCAAATTGCCAACCATCACTTTCATCATTATCATTAACTCTTGTAAGCTTCATTGTACTCATATCACATGTATTAGCAAAATTACTATGTGCTATAGCCTATATAATATAGAAAAAAAGAATAAGAATTAGATATTTAAATTTATACTTACAGAGTACTTAAAAAAATTTACAAGTAAAGTAAATAATATTAAAAACCCCATGAGTGCAGCTTAACTAACAAGTATAATCTCCTTAAGTTCTAAATTAGTACAATTATTACCTTTAATCAATTTAAAACTACTTTTGTTAAGAAATAGTTCCTTTTCTACTATTTCTAGTAGCATAAAAACCTCAGAGCTTAATATAAACTCATTTTTAATTAAATTATTACATATGATCTAAGTGGAACCACTTGTCAAAAACATGAGAAAAGAAATAAAAAATATAAATAAAAGAGGCATGAATTTGTGAATAAAATTTAAACAAATGTAATTTTATATTATCAAGAGTTTTTTAGATGGAACAAAATTAATATTTATAAGGTTTAAGTGTATGGTTACAATGCTGTATACTAATATTAATAGCCGTACACTAATATTAATATAGTGGATTTTGATAGCTATCAGATTGGTTTCAATTCAGACTTGCTTTTGTATATAAGCTAAAGTTTTTAGGATAATGAAAATACATATTTTTGTAATCCATTTTCATATTCTGTACATTCATATTGGTGGAGGGGAGTGTAAATTCCTGAATTTGGACTTTTTAGGAAGTCACCTAGCCCAATACTATTCAAACCCAATGACGCTTAACCCCATGAATCGTCTCTCAAGTTGTTCTCTTTGGTTACTTACTATAGCGCACCTTATCTTTCTCCCCTTAAGCCAACTGGAAAAGGGGCAATTGTTTAATGAGAGAGCCATTAGTGGTTATTTTATCCCCATTTATCCCCAAGGTTCCACAGTAACAGTATATCCAAATCTCATCCCATGATCACATGTGCTACACTCACCCCCTTGTAAGCGACTAAATTTTCCATTCTACTTTAGTCATTTAACCACACCTCTGACCACTTGGAGGAGTCTCATTCACAACCTCCATAAGTCCAATCCAGGACTTGGGACTTGCTAGCCCCGAGAATGGCATCCATGCCACTCAACATTTGCACTTGGTCCAAGTGCTCCACGTGTCCAATCCCATGACCGACACTCAAAGGTACCACCGACATAGCAACCTGTTACGCTAAGGCCATGCCTAATCACCTTTGCCACACTGGTAGTCCAATACCACTTGCATCACAGTCTTGGCTCTCCAAGACTAGGCAAACCATCCGTGAGTGGTCATCTCAGATCCACTCCTTAGCATCCTTAGGACGCCCACCGACAAAGGGAATAGCCTTCCCCAATATCCCTCTGTCAGTTCCCACTAAGTCCCTTTCTGCCCCTGGCCGTGTTTGCCAACACTGCCACTGGATCGAGACCCACAGGCCCGACCACTAAGTCCCACGGTCCTCTGGGACTTCCTCACCACACGACTGTGTCCTTGGTCACTACCCCAGAGGACTGCTCCTCTTTCTTTCCACAGTCTGGGCCTTTGGGACAACATTTCGGAACACCGTGGCCTTACGCGAGCCACCTGGGTACTCTCCTCGCCTTCTGCCCTTGGGTGCTCTAGCCATGGGCTTAGAGCGGGTTCCGTTGAGCCACACCAGGTATCCAAGTAGGTAGTGCCACCCACACTTGGATTGGGAGCATCGGCCAGTCGATCTCCCGGGGGAATTAGAGCCGGCTCTTGAACACTTCACCAAGCTACCCCGCCTGTCGGTCCGTGTTCACTCTAGTCTTGGACTTCCCAGTGGTCAGCTCATCACCCAACACTGGGTCTGGCCTTCCTGGGCCAAACTGGCCTTTCCTGGCCAAACTGGCTCCACTGGGCTCCAACCCCCACACTCTCCCTACTATACTTTTGGAACCCCCCGCAGCCCCCCCCCCCCCCTGGGGGACGATCGCTTTGGGCTTTCACCCAACTGCCTGTATTAGTATTCGGACTCGGACTCGGACTCGGGCTCGAACTCGGACTCGGTCTCGGTCCCGGTTTCGGACTCGGACTCGGTCTCGGTCTCGGTTCCATCTCGGACTCCATCTCGGACTCCATCTCGGACCCCATCTCAGGTCCATCTCGGACTCCATATCGGACTCCGTCTCGGTCCATCTCGGACTCCATCTCGGACCCCATCTCGGGTCCATCTCGGACTCCATATCGGACTCCGTCTCGGGTCCATCTCGGACTCCATCTCGGGTCCATCTCGGACTCCTTCTCGGGTCCATCTCGGACTCCATCTCGGGTCCATCTCGGACTCCATGTCGGGTCCATCTCGGACTCCACTTCGGACTCCAACTCGGGTCCACCTCAGACTCCACTTCGGACTCCAACTCGGGTCCATCTCGGACTCCACTTCGGACTCCAACTCGGGTCCATCTCGGGCTCCATTTCAGACTCCAACTCGAGTCCATCTCGGACACTTCCACGTGTCATGTGTTGGTCCTTTTGGGTCCCTTTTTGGAGCCTCGCTTTTTGCTCGCTTCGTGCTCGTTCCTCGAGCACTTCGTTGGGAGTTCCACTCCCGCTCTTGACTTTTCAAGTCGGAGCTTTTGGTCCAAACGTGTTACGCTCGTTTGGCTCTCGCTTCGGCCACTACCACGTGGCGCCCTTTCGGCTCCACTTTGGGGCCTAGGGATTTTGTGTCTCACACCCCTCTTTAGAGATGTCAATGTCCTCATTGACTATTAACTAGCAACCCCTATTGAGGTAAGGGGAATCAGTACTTTCATTTCCGCACTAAATCTATCAATCCTTCCATTGTGTACACTAGCACCTTCATTTTCGCACTGAATCTACCAATCCTTCCATTGTGTACACTACTTATTCCATGTGAGACAATTAGTCATCCACCTATATTACATTAGCACCTTCATTTCCGCACTAAATCTACCAATCCTTCCATTATGTACATGTAAGCGACTAGTTTTTCCATTTTACTTTAGTCACTTCACCACACCTCCGACCACTTGGAGGAGTCTCGTTCACAACCTCCATAAGTCCAACTCAGGACTTGGGGCTTGCTAGCCCCGAGAATGGCATTCATGCCACTCAACTTTAGCACTTGGTCCAAGTGCTCCACGTGTCTGATCCCATGATCGACACCCCAAGGTACCACCGACGTATCAGCCCGTTACGCTAAGGCCATGCCCATTTACCTTGGTCACACTGGTGGTCCAACACCACCTGCATTCCAATCCCGTCTCTCAAAGACTGGGTCATCCGTCCATGAGTGATCATCCCAGATCCACTCCTTAACATCCTTAGGATGCCTACAGATATGGGGAATAGCCTTCCCCAATATCTCTGTTCCGGTCCCCACCAAGTCCCTTTCTGTCCTTGGCTGTGTTCGCCAACACTACCACTGGATCGAGGCCCACAGGCCCGACCACTAAGTCCCACGGTCCTCTGGGACTTCCTCACCACACGACTGTGTCCT